CCAAGCGTAGGCTGTGATCAGATGGTTATGGCGGAGTGAGGTGATACGCAGGCCCACGCGGTGGAGCTGGGATCCGTGCCGCTGTCCCCCTTGTGTTAAAATCCTGGTCAAGTGTCTGTTGCAGATCAGGGGGGGGGGGCTGGTGGCACGTCTAAGTGCGGGTTCGGCCGTGCCAGCCGCCTTCGTCCTCTCCTACCTCCGGCTTTCTGGGCTCTGTCACGGCATCAGACACAGGTTAGGAAGAAGGGGGGAGTGTGGTAGATGTGATCCAAGTCTACTACCGCCATAAACTAATCCACATGCTAGTCACCGCGGTTGCTTCTGGCCTGCTGTGGACATTGTCGAAATGGACGGCCGATCTGTCATCACAAACCCAGGCGATCGTAGGCTCACTTGTTGTCTAAGCTAAACGGCCAATGTGATCGTGTCACACGCGAACTGATCACTGGCTCGATATGTACCACACTTTCATCACAGGGATCGTGGATCTTGCATAAGTAAAAGAGGCATATGGGGCCACTCTAAGAAGGAGTCACTGCGAGGTGATCAAAGACCGAGTTATCCACCTCGGCTGACAACCTATCAGACACGACTGGTAACATATCCGGACAGATTCAAGTGCGCTGAACTCATCATGATTATTAATGCGCCGATTTGCCTTGATGGCGAATTCTCCCGCAGTATCTGCCTCACTTTCTTTTCGCACTCTCATGCACCAGCTGGTTCTCCGAGTCAGGTCGAACTGAGAAAACAATTGGGCGCTGTTACTTACAAAGCTAGGCAGCCACGTACCACGCGTTCTATGGATAGGGGTCGGCAGGGGCTCTGTGCAGCCCGGTGAACGCGTGTGTTGGGTTAATTTGGTCTCCGTGCAGGTCCACTTAACGTACAATTCAGCATAGGCTTCTAATTATGGATATTTGATGGCGTGAAAATGAGACACACACCTAATTGGAGACGAGTGGTAAAACTTCAGTGTTGCGACATCGCTACAGCATTAGAGACTTTAAAATGTTAGAAGAACAATATTTTTTCATATTAAGCTAATGTGTGCGTCGCTGGCACTTGACTACGTCTGTGCGTCTTGAGGTGGATAGACTGGTAGGGGATAAACGTCCGAACCCGCGCTCTTTCGGGCCACTGAGCACTGTCTCAACACCCGTGCTCACGACACTCATTTGCGGCTTCACGAAGCCATGCTCTGAACAGCGGTTCTGGCAGCCACATCCACTGGCAGACGAGGCTATCTGTGAGGTCGTCTCATTCTTCTAGCATGGATAAAATTTGAAATGCGGTTTGTAGAGAGACAGGTCATGTTATAATACGCTACGGAGGAGGGGGCAAGTCATAATGCGTAAGATACTGGACCCTGTCTTACTTCCAGACGCCTGGGCCTAGTCCTATCACTGGCACATGGCGGGCGCGAGGAGAGGATGAGGTTGCTATTACGCCAGTTTGGCTTAGTATAGTTTTACGCACACACACGACAGCTCGGCCGACTTTGTCCGCCGTGTGCTCCATAGCAGACGCGGTGGGAGCAGGGACGGTGACTTGCGCAGGGGGTTTATAGTGCTAGTAGACTTGCGCTGCACCTACCTACACTCTTTCCTCCTCCCCCGTCTGAGCCCGGTGTCAAGACAGAGTCGAGAAGACCGGAGACGGGGAGGGCGCAGGTGGATGACAATGTCGAACCCACACCTTAGCGTTCCACTCCACATCCCTTGGTCCACAAAACAAATAACCAGGTTTTTGACCAACAACGACGGAGAGTATGGAGGCTGGCACGACCGAAGCCGCGCCTAGGCGTGTCGCCAACGCCTGGCTCGGATCCCACACTGTGGTGGGAGTGCCATAAAGGCCACATTAAAAAGGAGCCATTGCAGCCTGACTCTCAGACCTCCAGTCAAGGTGGTCCAAGTTGTCCCGTCAGTTGGCAACCTTCCAAGCCACGGCTTTTAGGGCACCGTGATAGCTTCAAGCGCGTCAGATTGTTTATAGTGAGGAAAATGCGCTGACTCGTCGACCTCACTCTCCCTTCCCATCCCCACACCCCAGCCTCTGTCCGAGCCGGTCAGAAGACTGGAGTGGGGAATGGGCGCGGTGGCTGGCACGGTCGACTGACCATGTCTGCGTGCGCCACGTGCACGACCTGGCCCCCCAGACACACACACCAGGATTTCACAAAACGGGGATTGAACGGCGTATCTCTCACTTGCGTGAGAGGGCCGTGGAAGGTGCTGCTTCAGCCCGTCCCAGCCCACCAGTCCGCCACTCCACACAACACACACACACACACACACACACACACACACACACACACACACACACACACACAAACAACGCGACGAACTGCGTGGGCCGAGTGGGGCGTCAATCAACAACCTTCCTATCCGCATCGCCTACAGGACGGACAGTCACCTCCTGAATCAACAGCGGATGCACTTCCATTCGCGCGTATCCACAACCACCGTGCACGAACTTCTCTTCGCCGAAGACTGCGCCCTCAACAACACCTCGGAAGAGGAGATGCAACGGAGCATGAACCTCTTCTCTGCCGCCTGCGAGAACTTCGGTCTGGTTGTCAACACGCAGAATACGGTGGTCATGCACCAACCGCCACCCAACACAGCCACTCCTACCAACGCGCCGCAAATCCGTGTAAACGGAACCCAAATGCAAGTGGTGGAGAACTTCCCGTACCTAGGCAGCACCCTCTCCCTTAGCACCAAAATCGATGACGAAGTCGCCAACAGGATCTCGAAAGCCAGTCAAGCCTTCGGCCGTCTCCAAAGCACAGTTTGGAATCGTCACGGTCTCCAACTGATCGCGAAACTGAAGATGTGCAAGGCCGTCATCCTGCCGACGCTGCTGTACGGAGCGGAGACTTGGACAGTATACGCAAAGCAGGCACATCGACTGAACTACTTTCACTTTAGTCTCGACGGGTTCTCGCCGTCAAGGAAGACAAATTCGTCGATACAAGGATACTCTGAAGTCCTCCCTGAAGCGTCCGCAAATCAACTCGATCAACTGGGAAGAGCTCGCCCTCGACCGACCGACCGACCGACCTGGAGGAGGACAGTGAAGACAGGCGCTGCGTTCTATGAGGCCAACCGCACCGCCGCCGCCAAAGTAAAACGCGAAGCCCGCAAATAATAGCTACGTTCAGTACGCAAGGCCGACGCACAACCGCTCCCAACGTGTCATCGATGTCAACGGACATTCCGGACACGAATTGGACTTATTGGACACCTCCGGATCAACTGCACCTATTGGACCGCATTAACCGTCGTCCCTTCGCACGCCTCATCCTCGTCCCATCCGCCGTCAACTAACTCTGACCACTCTTCTGAACCCCCACTTCCATCCTCCTCCTCCTCCTCCTCCTCCTCCTCCTCTGCCTCCTTCTCCTGCACTGTCTCAACGACGGCCGCCCTGGCGGCTGCCACGCACGACAACACCACCTACACCACCCAACCAACCTCCGGATCCGGATGTGAGGACCAGGATTACACCTGCCCTCACTGCGAACGCACCTTCACCTTACACATCGGCCTGGTCGGTCACTTGCGAATCCATCGCACAGAGACTGGCGAACCAGTGCCTGGGGCACCAACCTATACCCACCAAGCTCGCCTTCACTGTCTCCATTGCCTTCGCACTGTCAGACATCGCATGGGCCTATTCGGCCACATGCGCATCCACGACGACTTGCGGTAGACAACCGTCGGCTTCACCACCCCATAACACACTCCCGCCCTGCCTCTACCACCACCGCCACCCCTCCACACATCCACACTCACCCACCGCAAGCACCCAAATGCCACCTCCCACGCAAGTGTGAAGTGTACATCTCGACTCGGCCCCCATGCGGCCTCGGCTGCACGGGTGACTTGAGTCTGAGACTATTCCGATACACACACACGACAGTTCGTCCGTCGATTTCGACGATGACCACCGTGTGCCCCACAGACTGCATTGTGGGAGCAGGGACGGTGACTTACGTAGGGGTTTATAGTGCCAGTAGACTTGCGTAGCATCTACCTACACTCTCTCCTCCTCCCCCGCCTGGGCCCGGTGTCAAGACAGAGTCAAGAAGACCGGAGACGAGGGAGGCCGCAGGTGGATGGCTCGGACGGATCCTCACCTTGGCGTTCCACCACACCCCCTGGTCCACACAACAATAACCAGGATTTCAACCAACACAACAGAGATTTGGAGGCTGGCACGGCGGAACCCGCACCTAGGCGTGCCACCAACGCCTGGCTCGGATCCCACGCTGTGGTGGGAATGCCATAAAGGCCACATTAAAAAGGAGCCATTGCAGCCTGACTCTCAGACCGCCTCCCGTTAAGGAGGAGGTCCAAGGTACCCCGTCAGTTGGCAACCTTCCAAGCCACGGCTTTTAGCGCACCGTGATAGCTTCAAGCGCGTCGGATTGTTTATAGTGAGGAAAATGCGCTGAGTCGTCGACCTCACTCTCCCTTCCCATTCCCACACCCCAGCCACTGTCCGAGCCGGTCAGTAGACTGGAGTGGGGAATGGGCGCGGTGGCTGACATGGTCGACTGACCATGACTGCGCGCGCCACAGCACGACCTGGCCCCCCATACACACAAACACCAGGATTTCACACAACGGGGGTAGAACGGCGTGTCTCCCACTTGCGTGAGAGGGCCGTGGAAGGTGCTGCTTCAGCCCGTCCCCAACCCACCAGTCCGCCACTACACACAGCACACACACAACGTGACGAACTGCGTGAACCGAGAGCGGGCCTCAATCAACAACCTTCCTATCCACGACGCTTGACGTGTCGGGATAGTCTCGAACACAAGTCACCCGTGCAGCCAAAGCCGTATGGGGACCGAGTCGAGATGCACACTTCCCACTTGCGTGGGAGGCGGCAGTTGAGTGCATGAGGTGTGCGGGGGTTGATGTCTGATGGGGTGATGGTGTTAGGAGATAGAGAGTGAGGGAATGTGTGGTGTGACCGGCGGTTGTCTACCGCAGGTCGTCGTGGATGCGCATGTGGCCGAATAGACCCATGCGATGCGTGAAGGTGCGAGTGCAGTGTGGGCAGTGGAGGCGAGTGCGGTGGGTGTAGGTTGGTGCTCCAGGCACTGGTTCGCCAGTCTCTGTGCGATGGATTCGCAAGTGACCGACCAGGCCGATGTGTGAGGTGAAGGTGCGGTCACAGTGAGGGCAGGTGTAGTCCTGATCCTCATCAGTGGTATCGGGAGAGGTGGGAGAGGTGATGTCAGTTGTTGTGTCGTGGTTGGTGATGTGTGAGACAGCAGTCTGAACAGCCGTCGCTGGGGCAGTGGAGAGGGAGGAGGACGACGAGGATGGGAGTGATGGTGCAGGAGGAGTGTCAGAGTTAGTTGGCGGCAGAGAGGACGAGGAAGAGGCGGGCGGGGGGACGATGGCTGGAGCAGTTCGAGAGGTACAGTTGATCCGAAGATGTCCAACAAGTCCGATTCGTGCCCGGAATGTCCGGTGGCATCGAGGACACGTAGGGAGAGGTTGTGCGGCGGCGTTGCGGACTGGGCGAAGTTGTGATTTGCGGGCTTCGCGTTTCACTTTGGCGGCGGCGATTCGGTTGGCTTCATAGATAGCAGCGCCCGTCTTCACTGTTCTCCTCCATGTCAAGCGATCGCGAGCGAGCTCTTCCCAGTTGGTCGGGTTGATTTGCAGGCGCTTCAGGGAGGACTTCAGGGTATCCTTGTAACGGCGAATTTGGCCTCCTTGACGACGAGAACCCGTCGCGACGTCTCCGTAGAAGAGTCGTTTAGGTAGTCGCTCGTCATCCATGCGCACCAGGTGGCCGCTCCAGCGCAGCTGCATTTGTCTCAGTATGGCGTAGATGCTGAGGATTCCCGTTCGTTCCAGTACTTCCGTGTCGGGGATTCGATCCTGCCACTTCAGCCTCAGGATGCGACGAAGACAACTGAGATGGAAGTGGTTCAGTCGGCGTGCCTGTCTCGTGTACACCGTCCAAGTCTCCGCTCCATACAGTAGCTTCGGCAGGATGACGGCCTTGTACATCTTCAGCTTTGTGCTCAGTTGGAGACCATGACGATTCCAAACTGTGCTTTGGAGGCGACCGAAGGCTTGGCTGGCTTTCGAGATCCTGTTGGCGACTTCGTCGTCGATCTTGGTGTTGCGGGAGAGCGTGCTGCCCAGGTACGGGAAGTTCTCTACCACTTGCAGTTGAGTCCCATTCACGTTGATTTGCGGCGGCGCGTTGGGGGCTGTGGCTGAGTTGTGTGGCGGTTGGTGCATCACCACCGTCTTCTGCGTGTTGATAACCAGCCCAAAGTTCTCGCAGGCGGCGGCGAATAAGTCCATGCTGCGTTGCATCTCCGCTTCGGAGGTGGTGTTCAGGGCGCAGTCGTCGGCGAAGAGGAGTTCGTGCACGGTGGCTGTGGATACACGCGATTGGAAGTTCATGCGCCGGTGATTCAGCAGATGACCGTCCGTTCTATAGGCGATGTGGATTCCAGGGCGTTCGTCGCGGTAGGCGTCCATCAGCATGGCAGAGAACATGAGACTGAAGAGGGTAGGCGCCAGCACACAGCCCTGCTTCACTCCGTTGGTCACTGCGAATGCCTCTGAGACAGCTCCGTTGTCCGTGACTCGCGCCATCATACCGTCGTGCAGCTGACGCACCATCTGAGTGAATCGCTCCGGACAGCCGAATTTCTGCATGATCTTCCACAGTCCTTCACGATTCACCGTGTCGAAGGCTTTCGTCAGGTCCAAGAAGGTAGAGTACTGGTGGGTCCGCATTTCCTGGCACTTCTCCTGAAGTTGGCGGGCTGCGAAGATCATATCCGTGGTCCCACGATGACGACGGAAGCCGCATTGGCTTTCCGGCAGAAGGCCCTGTTCCAGATGGTTGTTGAGGCGGTTGAGCAGGATGCGAGCGAAGATCTTCCCGGCGATGTTCAGTAGGGAGATGCCGCGGTGGTTGTCGCAGACTTGGCGATTCCCTTTTCGCTTGTATAGGTGCACGATAGTTGCGTCCTTGAAATCTTGCGGGACTTCACCTTGACGCCACATCTCCTGGAAGAGCGCAGTCAGGTGATCCATCAGTAGGGGACCTCCGTGCTTGTAGACCTCAGCAGGGATGGCGTCCGATCCGGGTGCTTTCCCGCTGGAAATCTGCTGCACGGCCCTGATAGTTTCCTGGAGAGATGGCGGGAGGTCGAGGTCCACGTTGGTCTCCACTTGCGGCAAGCGGGCGATGGCGGCGTCGGAGATGACGGAGGGGCGGTTGAGGACGCCTCGGAAATGCTCGGCCCATCGCTGAAGGATTTGCGTCTTCTCAGTCAGGAGAGTGCTGCCGTCGGCGCTGAGGAGAGGAGCAGTGCCCTTCGTCGGCGGACCGTAGACAGCTTTGATCGCGGAGAAGAAGTTCTGCCATTCGTTGCGGTCCGCGTACCCTTGGATCTCCTCAGCTTTGCGAGCAGTCCAGGCGTCCTGCATCTCGCGCAGTCGTTGCTGAAGCTGTCGGCGACTGCGGTAGAAGACAGCTTTGTTGTCCTCAGTGGGGTGATCTACGTAGGCTTTGTGTAGGCGGTTCTTCTCAGAAAGCGGATTTCTGATGGCGGCGTCGTTGTCGTCGAACCAGTCCTGGTGTTGGCGGGGAGCGCGACCGAGGACGGCGAGCGCCGTCGATTGGACTGTGTCACGCAGTTGACACCAGCGGTTCTCCACGGAGGCGTTCTCGGCAGCGGCGGCGGCGTCGTCGGCAGCGGCAGCGATAGGAAGGTTGTCTAGCCGTTGAGCTAGCTCATTGCTGAAATGGAGACGGTGAGCAGGCAAAGACAACAAAGCAACATTCAGCTTACCTGGGGGTCGCTTACCTTGTGGTCTCCTGCGAGGCTGTAGGCGAATACGCATCTTCGAGATGACGAGGCGATGGTCGGTCCACCCGTCAGCACCTGCGATCGCCTTCGTCACCAGCACGTCCCGCTGATCTCGCCTGCGAACGAGGACATAGTCCAGTAGGTGCCACTGACGCGACCGAGGATGCCTCCAGGTGGCCTTATCTCGCTCCGGCAGACAGAAGAACGTGTTCGTCAGGATGAGGCGATGTTCTGCGCAGGTGCGGAGGAGCAGCAGGCCGTTGTCGTTGGAGCCGCGGAGACCGTGAGGACCCAGCACTCCCCTCCAGGCAGTATGGTCTGTGCCGACGCGGGCGTTGAAGTCACCAAGGACAATCAACTTGTCCGCCTTCGACACAGTCGCCAAGAGGGCGTGCAGGTCCTCGTAGAACTTGTCTCTTGCGGCGGCGTCGGGGCTGCTCATCGGCGGAGCGTAGGCGCTGATGATGGTGGCGAATTTGCCCCCACCCCGCAGAGGCAGACGGAGGCTCATCAGGCGATCGTTGATACCCTGCGGCAAACAGGGTAGTCGTCCCACGATGTCGTTCCGGATGGCGAAGGCGACACCCGCGTCTCGTCGCTCTGCCTTGGGTCGACCACTCCAGAAGAAGGTGTAGCCGGCACCCACCTCCTCCAGTTGGCCTTGTTCGGAGAATCGGGTCTCGCTGAGTGCGGCGATGTCCACCTTGTAGCGCGCCAGTTCTCGTGCCACTAGCGCCGTCCTCCGTTCCGGTCGGTTGCTCCTCGGATTGTCTAAAAGGGAACGAACATTCCAGGCTGCCAGAGTGAGCGGGCTCACCCTGCCAGTCTGGCGACTGCGGCGGCGAAAAGTAGGAGTAGGAGACGAAGAAGAAGAATAGGCTGGAAGAGAAAGAGAGTGATTGTTGTTGTTGTTTCGGTTTTGGCTGTTTCGACCCTGTGTTTTTTGTCTGCGGCCACGGCCAGCCTACAAACAGCGTGGTTCCTAGCGATCTTTAGGGCACCTTTTCTAGCCCCCTCCCCCTCGCGAGGGCAGGCAACGCATCCCTGAACAGGGCTGCCCGGTTATCCCAGACGGCTGCCGGACTCCACTATGGGCCACGACTTTTTGTTAGTGAGAGAACGACCCGAATTAGCCTGGGACCTTGGTGGTGAGGTGATGACGTGATGGCGTGAAGTAGGAGAGAGCATACACACTACCTAACGCTATGGGACTTAGAACTAGAGTGGACAAGCGGACACAGTCACCAGTCAGAGACAAAGTGAGGGCACCACACAAAGTCAGGCACCGTAACACCTAGCTATTAGAAGAGAGTGGCATAGACTGACGGACAGACAATCGCAGCAGGCATCGAGGGTATCGTTTAGCTATTAACAGACAGATTAGCATATAAAGGGCAGGCAGCAAGCGCAGCGTACGACGCGGAACTTCGACAAACAAAAGGAAGAAACAAAGCAAACGCACTTACCTGAGGGGGAACTTACCTGGTGGCCTCCTGCGATGGTCCAGGCAGAGCCTCGTCTCGACGATGTCGACGCGAAGATCCATCCGGCCAGCGCGGACCACAGTACGGCGCGTGCAGGTGCACGCACGGATACCCTCACCTGGTTTAGCCCGCCGGTCGAGACGGTTGCCCGGGGTGTGGCCGCTGAGCAGAGCCCAGCTGCGTGGAGCCACAGGTGAGAGTTAGGTGCCAGCAAATGGACGTTAGGCGTAGTCTCACCTGCAAGCAAGTGAGCGACCACTACGACCATCACGTGGACCCACCGCTGACACCCCTACACCCCGATACACACACACACACACACTCATACACACGACAGCACGACCGTCGTGACCGACGATTTCCACCGTGTGCTCTACAGCAGAGTAAGCACAGGAACGTTGACCTGCCCCCTCCTCTGGACCCCGTGTCAACACAGAGTCAAGAAGACCGGAGGCGAGGGAGGACGGATGTGACTGGCACGGCCGGACCCGCACCTAGGCGTGTCACCACACTCCGTAATAGCCAGTAATCCAGCCACACACATATTTGCCCGACGTTCTCGATTCTCACATGAATTCTTCATAAGAGACAGACACAGATAAGGGTGCAGCCAGGTTCCAATCAAGTGGGAACAACAGACGAGACGAAACGGCCTTGTCTCTGGCTCTCTCTCTCTCTGGTGATTCGTTCCAGTGAGAATCTGAAATGATAGACGAGCGAAAGTGTTTTTTCTTCTTTTTTTTCTCGGCTCCTCCCTTAAACTCACATCGTTTGTGTCAGCTTTTTCGAAAGTCAGAGCCGCGCAGTCAATTCATATAGATGTTAAATTTATCTCTGCATAGATTTATACCCTGCACTTTAGCTCTCCTTCTTTTTGAGGGTTTCAGGGTTTTTTGGTGTTCACGTTAGGTTTTGAAAAGAAGAAATTCCACTTGTGATGTGAAGCGCTTGAACAGAACTTGTACAAAGGTTTTTCCAAAAATACCTAGAAAAAAATTTTCTCGATAATTGTAACTTATTTGTCGGTCACCTGGTCACCTCAGACTTATTTATCGTCGTCGCTTAACCACACACCAACACTTTATCCGTCGCAGACTACGGCCTGTCTCACAGGGTGAGCGCGACGCCGGTGACTTGCGCGTATATTAGTTTATAGTGGGGCAGACTTGCAAAGCATCTCGTCAGACTCTTTCTCCCTATCTTCCGTCTAATGGCGAGACAACGTCAAGACGACCAGAGGTGGACTAGTGCCCAGTGACTGACAAACCTGAACAGTCGGTCTAGGCTTTCATACACTGTCTGGTCCCCATCACGTGTAATGCTCTACTTTAAGGACATTTCAGATTTCACATGCGTGGAAGTGGAAAAGTAAGAAAAAATCATCCTAGCCTGACTCACAGTCCTTCGGTCACTCCTAAATACTCCGGCACCTTTCCAAGACACGATTCTTAGTGCATCGTAATAGCT